TCAATACTACCCAAAGAAATCTATACATTCAATGCAATCCCAATCCAGTTCCCATCAACATTCTTTAAGGATATGGAAAAACCAACCACTAACTTTATATGGAAAGGAAAGAGACCTTGGATAAGCAAAGCACTATTGAAAAAGAACAAAGTAGGAGATCTCACAATGCCAGATCTCAAAACCTAGTATACAGCCACAGTAGTCAAAACTGCCTGGTACTAGTTTAATGACAGACACATAGAATAGAATTGAGAACCCAGAAATAGATCCATTGACCTATGGTCAGCTGATCTTTGACAAAGGGCCAAAATCCATTAAATGGGGAAGAGAATGCATGTTTAATAAATGGTGCTGGCAAAACTGGATATCCATTTGCAGAAAAATGAAACAAAGATTATATTAGTCTGTTATTATAAAAGTCAAAGAAAGGTTTATATATGGAAGGAAATTTTCTTTGTTGGTTACCAGGGGTGGGACAGGAGAGGAGGGAACACTGTTAGATAGGTAGAGACAAGTATTGATTTGGGTGAAGAGAAGGGCAGAGTACCAAACGTGAGTGATCAACATGGTGGCATTGAGGAAGAGGAAGACATAGAGAGGTACATGGGAGGTGCAGACAATCAAGATGAACCCTTCTGCACATACAGGACTGCTTTGTCAGCAAAGGCAAACATAGATATATGGGTGGATAGACGGGTGGACAGGCTGAATGTAGGTATGTCTATGCAGTGGGAGGAATGTGTGCATGACCACGTATAAGGTTGGCAGACAATGGTTCTATAAGGGTATTTGTATGTTCTGTAAGAATTCCTAGGTGTAGAGTAGAGCTGACAAGGCACAAGGTTGTAGTCACTTCTTGGTCATAGCCAGTTACCCAGAGGGAGCGAGTAGTTGCACCTATGTGCTCAGGACCATAGTCGTGGGGGACATCAAGCTCAACTGGTATAACAAAACATTGTTCCTCCTCCTAGTTTGGCGAGTAGCGACTGGGGCCTTAAAAACTTTCAAGCAGCCATCAAGATGCAATGATGGGTCTTTCTTTCTTCATCCAGAGCAAAGAAGAATGAAGGAAATCAAAGATTTATGGAAACAATTAGTCCTAGCAACTGGTACATCATGCAATCCACCTCTGGTAAGACTATGAGACCAGAAGAACTAGATGGTGCCCGGTACCACTGTCAACCACTTGGAGGGGAATCTAACTAGGAGATCCTGTACAGAGAGGGAGAACAATGTGGAACAAAACTCAAAATCATTTGGAAAACAAAAAGCGGGGGGAGGGATGGGGACCAGGTTTGCTGGTCTGATAGAGCTTGATGGAACCTCTGAGACTATGGCCTCTAGCTGCCCTTCAGGTCTGGATTTGAACCCACATCTGTGGCTTCCAGTAAAGCAAAAGACAAGCATATGAACTGAACATAGGTAGATAGACTCCTTGGAGAGAAGAATCATAGGAGAAAGAAGGGCTGTTTATGTACAGGGAGACAGCTCAGGGGGCAGAAGTGCATGGAGGGATGGACACAGGAATAGATAACTGTGGGGAGGAAGTGGGAGGGGAGTTGTTGCATTGGGGTAAATTGTAGTCAATGTCATGAGACAAAGTGTGTGTGAACTGCTGTATGGAAAATGAATTTGCTCTGTAAACTTTCACCGAAATCACAATAATAAATAAACAAACAACAAACAAAAGGAACACTAGATTCCATAATTTTCAATATCTGCTATACTTTCATAATTATGGATTTTACTTTCTTTGGCTAAAGGAAGCTAAGAATGCTAAGGGCACATCTTACATTAATTGAGATTGAAAACAAGGAAGGCAGGCAACTGAGGTCTCCCATAAGTCCCACAGTACCTCTGACACAGAATGATAATTAATTAAGGAAGAGGACTATCTATCTGCTTAAAACTTTTGGTGGTGGCTTATGCATGACTATGGTCCAGTTCAGCAATGTGCTGGCCTATGGCTTTGCTTTTCTCTGTCTATCCAATTTTGGAATTGCAATGATCATTCGTGCTCTTAAAATTTATCCTAGCTCTGGTGGCATATTGGCTAAGGCATTTGACTGCTAACCAGAAGGCTCCAGAAGGAAGACTGGGTACACTACTTCTGTAGAGATACTGGCCTCGGAAACCCAAGGAGGGGTCACTATGAGTCGGAACCAACTCGATGGCAATGAGTTAGTTATGACCTTGATGTATATCACAACTACTGGCAGATTTCTTAAACCTGCTTTCAAAATTATTTTAGCAGTTTTTTGTGACTTTTTTTTCTATCTAGAAGACCTAGAATTTGTCTAAGATATAGTTGCCTGGGTGGGAATAATCCTGACCGAGTTTTCTGACTATGATTTATAGGTCAACAAACTTCTTAAATAGTAGATGTAATTCCCTTGACTGCACAGAGCACTTACTGTCACTTGCTCATTGTTGCAGGATGGATGAGCTTCCAGCCTCAGGTTGTTAAATGTTAGCGTAATATGCCTTCCTTCCTGCACAGTGATTCTCCACTCACAGACCCGGCTGTGAAGATTTGGGTTCGGATAGTTGGGAGAAGCAAATGTTCCAGTAGGGACCTGTAGATTCCCACCACACTCTGAAGGGGAAAAAGATCATGAAAAATTCTACCCAAATCAAAATGACCCCATCTATAAGGAATGTTTTCAAAATTAAAGTTTTGTTTTTATTATTCTGCTACACAAGATTTCTGTCCTTATTTATTTACTACTATATGTACCTAGAGGGAGGTCTGGTGGCATAGTGCCTATGGCATTTGACTGCTAACCAGAAGGCTGGTGGTTCAAACCTACCAGCCACTCCTCTGAAGGAAGATTGGGCAATCTACTTC